GCAAGCCGATTATTCTGATCATGGGCTCCACCTGTTGGAACACCCCCAACCGGGTTTCCTACAACACTAGTACCATTCCCGGACGAACCAGCTCCCACGGCACTCACACTCTCACCACCCACGGGCCCCTCCTGATGCGACTGGGACTCACTAACAAAATTGGCCGTAGCATTCCGGCCTACACTCGTGTCGCTACCCGAGGCAACACCACGCCCCCTACCGCGACCACGCCCACGACCACGACCATGACCACGACCGACAGCTCCACCTCTAACCATCTACAACACAACAGAAGGCTAAAAACACCAAACAAATCACCAAACCACACGACTTACCGTAGAATCTCATTGAAGGCTCGAGAGGATGATCTAGGTCTCCATGCTCACACAATTGATTAAACACACAATCAATCAGTATGCAATCCACATCATCATTCCTCATCAATGAAATTCACACATCACATCACAATTTTTACCAATTAAATCTTGTCCTAGAACCGTAAATGCTCTGATACCAAATTGAAAGAACCCCCATTTTTTTTTCTTTTAAACATGCAAACCGGATTAATCCAATTAATTCAAACCAGCTAAACCGGCCATAATAATTTAAATCAATTAAACCAAGCAATCTCATTAAAGTAAACCAACAATATTAACCAGCGGAAGACTTAACCAAAAATCCAATAAAACATTTCCATTAAACCAACAAGTTCAACCAAACATTATTCCAAAACATGATCATCCTAACCTGTTTCTAAATTCCATTCTAACACCCTAACAAATCCAACAATAATCTAAAACACCAATGAGCGCCTAGATCATCCTCCTCTCCTCGCCATGATTCCACGGATCACACTTTACTTTTACCTGCATCAAAGAAAGAGATGCATAAGTATTTCATAAATACTTAGTGAGGGCGATCCTCCCATCTACGAGCTATACACACAAGAAATGAGATAACACCCACATATATAACAAAAACAAAACATCTAGCAAGCTAAACATCCAATAACACATCCAGTTCACCTACAAATCATCACAAAACAAGTCACTCGATCTCAATCGCTTAGATAAGCTCATGGTCACGCACTTACCTGAACAAGGTGATTCGAATTACAAAAACAACCAGGAAAGACTCTCCTCGCGACTGCAACAGCTAAACAACGTCCTACAACAAATCACACAAACAAAAATATCTAAGAACCAAAAGGACAGAAACAGCAGAAAAACTACAGCCGCAGAAACGAAGCCCTAAAACGTAAAGCAACCGTTAACTGCTTAATCCCCACGGTGCAAAGCAAGATCCAGACGTCACAAAGCTGCCCACAAAAATTGGTGCCGATCAGAGAAGCTATGGAACCACGATCTCACTTACAAACTATGCTGATCCCAGTTCGCAACAGAGAAAACGCTTCTCACCAAACTGCATATAACTCACTGAGTATTAATCCGAATTCACTTCTGTAAAAAGGAGGAATCAACGTACACGCCTTAAGAACAAACCTACCAAAATTCATTACCTTTAGATAAGATTTGATACGTCGTAAATCTATTATACCAGGACGTGACGAATCTGCTTCTCTTGCCTTAAACACCAAAGCAAAGCAAACCCTCTCCTTCTCACAAGTGAACTTCTCCTTCTCCTTTTCGCAACTCAACTCTCAGAAACAACAGCAACAAAACAAAAGAGAGAATAAAGCGTTCTTTATATAACTAGGGTTTTTGGTTTAATTTTGATTAAACCAGGGTTTACCTAAACCGACATTAATTAAACCTTCTTTGATTCAATTAAACAAATCGACCAATTTAGGAAATCCATCGGAACTAAACCGAATCCACCCTAATTCTTATACACATTCAAGTCTCCTATTAATTTCCAGAACACGGGCGTTACAATCTGAATATGTTTATGAACATCTAAAACTAAATAAAAAATGGGCCATGATAATTTTTTATTTAGTTCTCTCTCATCTGACTCAAACTATTGTGACAATGTCCTTTTGTTATTTATATTCGCTAACAAAAAATTTAACAAGGTAAAAAATTAACAAGATAATGTGATCATCTTTACAGTCACTAACACGAGCTAAAATACGAATAGTAGTTAAGTCTATTCCTAGTTTCTCTCTGTCTTGTCACATCAAGGAACCTCTCTTTTATAGCAGGCGGGGCACACCGAAACCTAGCTCGAGGTTTGTTTTCCTTTTAGGCCGCGTATTGGTTTTTGTTGGGCCAGCCGTTGTGGGCAGATCTCCTAATGGGCCAGGTACCAATGCATGTTCACTATTTTGTCTTTTTGTTCCTGTCTTGGCTTCATCACTTTTAAGCCGAGCAGAGAGGGAGAGAGTGGAGGAGGGTCTCATGGGCCGAGGCCCATATCCAACAAACTCTATCGTAAGTTTGCAGGCTGCATGTACCAATCACTCTGTTATATAGCGTTTTAACTAGGTTCCACCTATACTTTTAGCCTCTACCAAATTCCACATATAAAAATATAATACGTATATGTAGAATTGGGTCTACCCTATATAGGAGAAACCTAATTGAAACCCTATATTACATGGTGTCTGGTACATGCAACCCTAAGTTTGTTCCTAGAGTATATAAACCAATAAAGTAATAAAAAAATCAATAAGTAGGAGAGAGGAAGAAAAATATGAGATACCATTTCTCAAACAAACTATGAGATTGTGAGAACCCCATAAGAAACTATGAGAACACATGTCAAATGCATAACTAAGTAAAACTAAAAGTATTAATATTGTATTGTAAGATACCTAAATGAACATCTCCATCATTGGAGATGCTCCAACGAAAAATATGCACAAAAACTTAGCCTTATGATAGCAAGCAAATTCTTAAAGTTAACAAAAGATAACAAGAGAATGTATATAGAACACAAGCCTTCCAACAAAAAAGAACAAGACAAGTTTTGTTGCTCGAATTTGAGATGAACTAGGATGATTTTCATGTCTATGTGCTTACAATCACTGTAGGTTGTAAACCATAACTCATTTGTAACTTGTCACATAGTGCTCTAAAACCATCAAGTGACATTCTTAGTACGTCACTAAAGACATGCAGCATTATCTTCTTGAATTTGACGCCATATATTTCTCCATTGATCCTAACCAGTCACATGTTTGCACTGGCCCTCTTTCAAAATAGCGATGATAGTATGTCAATGATGGTTGAATTATTAACTCTTCAAATTGCTCATTTTCCAAATTTATATATAAAATGTATGTCATTTAAGGAAAAAAAAAACACATTTGCAAAAGTAAGATAGAAAACCAGTGAGTGAGAAAAGAAGAAGTGTGAGTGTTGTACCAAACCGAAGAATGTGTAGGTTATAAAGAAAAAAAAGAAAAGTATTTAAATTATTATTTTATTAATAAAAAATATTTTCATAACAAAACACAGATGACGTGAACAATTATTTTTATGACAAAACACAGATGACGTAGACAAGTTACAACATCTGTCATGTCTTTATCACAACAGGACAAAATATTTTTGCTGTCTTTCTACTCTTTTTTTAAATATAAAAAATAATGAATCTATATTAACATTTTTGAAGTATTTTTTGTGTTTTACCCTTTTATTTTGTAATATTTACATAATTAAATCATGACCATTTAATTAAATAACAAAAGTTTAGAGTAAATTTTGTAATTAAATCATAATAAAATTACAAAATTGGAAATTAGTATTTATTACATTTAACAAAATTTCCTAAAATATCTCCCTAATAAACTGAAAATTTCTTAAATATCTTTAAATGTATTATTTGTTTTTAAAACTTTTATTCTTACATATAACATATGTATAATAAAAATATAGTTTTTTTGCATATGTTGTAATTTGAATTTTTAGAAACGGATGTATATTACTCAAACGATACAAAAATGTATAACCTAAAGTATTATTGATAATTGTGTAGCACGGATCATGTGATGGAACGAGTTATAATTTACATAATTATGATTATAGATATTTTTACGAGTTGTCTACTATAGTATAACTCACAAAAATATTTTAATATGAAATTATATTATGTAAACGAATATTATGTCAGTATCATTTCATTATTTTAAATATTATACTTATTTAATTAATTTAATCAAATTACGATTATATAAAAAATAAATAATCATATAATATTCTACGGGTTAAATCATAAAATTAACAATCAAAATATAGTAATACACTCTTACATACCAAACAAAAATAATAAAAAGAATACATTTTAGAATGTCGTCCCACGGTATACCGCGGGTTAAAATCTAGTAGTGTATTGATAATAGGAGACCCACATGCACGGGTCAACTGTTTTTTTTTCAGTCTCTCCATTCAAAGTAGACTTCCCCTTGAATTTAATTCATCCTATGTAGAAGCTAAACATCACTCTAAAGCCACTGGTTTGTAGCCTAAACCATAAAACTCATAAAGTCACGGTGGCTAGATATAAAACGTTACCAAAGGCTTTCTTCAAAAAAAAAAAATTCGATGCTTACTCCACACATCTCAATTAGATAATAGTATATCACCAAATTATACATCTACCCACCCTTAATTACTACACACATCTCAATTCTCGAAATATTCAAACAACTACACCATTTAAACTTGAAACAACACAACAAAAATAGAACAAGTTATTATGCTTAACTGATTTTTAGATAATAAAAGATATACGAACTATCCCGAGTTTCCAGTTTCCCACATATTATGGTCACGATTTTTAACTAAACTAACACAATGGTAAATATAACTAAGTAAAACTAAAAGTATTAATATTGTATTGTTGAGATACCTAAATGAACATCTCCATCATTGAAGATGCTCCAAGACAGAATATTCATACAAACTTAGTCTTACGATACTACGAAAGTTCTTAAAGTTAACTAACAGATAAAGAGAGAACATATATAGAACACAAGCCTTCCAACAAAAAATAACAAGAAAAGCTTTGTTGCTCGAATTTGAGATGAAGGAAGATGATTTTCATGTCCATGTGTTATATAGACTTCCCCTTTGAATTACTACACACATCTCAATTCTCGAAATATTCAAACAACTAAACCTTTTAAACTTGAAACAACACAACAAAAACAGAACAATTTATCAAAAAAAACCCAAAAACAATATAAGCAAACCAAACTGAAAACAATTTATCTTCGGAAGACATTGAACAACAAATATATCACAAAATACTAATGCCAAATGAAGACATTATACTCGACCACGGCATCTTGACCAACAAGCTTATAAGTCTTGGCTTGTGCATAACCTCTAGCAAACCTAAAACAACCGGTTCCACCAATGATCGGCATCTCTCTCACCTTCGACATTATCGCATTCCGTCCATACATCGAGAGGGTACTTCCCTTGAATTGTCCTTCCGTGAAAGCCAAGTTAAAGACCATTGTGAAGATCAAGTCTTTCAAGTCCGTTGACGCATACATCCCTTGAGCTCTCCCAATTTCCTTCGAGCTCGGGTCAGGTCCCTCGGTCAACGGGTCATCAGCGATCATAATTACGCCAAATTTGATGGCTGAGGAGTTTGTCCCGGGGGCCTCGGCCACTCTGATGGCGGTAGGTTTGTCACCGGAGATAACGTCATGGAAATAAAAGTGGAGGTGGGTGAATTTCTCCGGCTTATAGCCTTGAAAGGGCCTCGTCGTCGTCGTCGAGTAAGCTTCGGATTCTGTAACGGTCACAGCAAGAAGAAGAGTAAGAAGAAGTAGAAAACGTTTAGCCATGTTCGTTGTTTACAAAGGTTAAAGATATGGAAATGTAATTTATTTATACACAACACAAAACAAGATCAGTACGCAACTGTTGGTTTTATATAACATTTGTGTATATGTCATTTCAAGATTGGTGACAACAACATGTTCGTTGACGAGGAATTAAACTAGGTGGATCAATTATACATAAATAGATATTTCCACTTGTACAAATCTTGAATTAAACTATAAAATATGTAGATGATGAGGTATAGACAAATAAGGTTTTTTGTTTTTGTTTTGGACAACGACAAATTAGAATAAAAAGAGGATTTTGCATTTTGCATAAATCCAATTCGACAAAAAAAGAAAGTTAGTTCTGTGCATAAAAATACATATGTTAAATGAATATAATTGAAGGATTGATGTAAGACATATACATATATCTATCTATACTAATACAAGGGATAATTTGAGGCATTTGAGAGTGTCCATGTCAGCAAGGAATTAAACCAAAAAAAAGTTTATTTAAATGATTTTTTTTCCTTCAAAACAAATTTAAGAATTTATTAATGGCCTTAATTTAATCCAATGTTTTTAAAATCAAATCAGATTGCGAACCGGACTATCTTTTGGGTCACCGGGTTATTGGGCTAACCGGATTCGGCCACGAGTCAATTAATTATATCGATGATTTTATATAAATTATACAGTTTTGTAAATATAAAAATAAAAATAATCATACCAATTTAACAAAATATAAAACTTAACAGTAGTAGTAAAGATATAAAAAATAGAATTAAACCAAAAAAATATATATAAAAAATGAATTATTATTTTTTCCCTAAAACAAATTTAGAAAAATTTAAGAATTTATTAATGGCCTTAGTTTAATCCAGTGTTTTTAAAATTGAACCAGATTGCGAACCAGACTAACTTTCGGGTCACCGGGTTATTAGGCTAACTGGATTCGACCTCGGGTCAATTAATTAAAATTTATCAATGACTTTATATAAATTATACAGATTTTTTAAATATAAAAATAAAAATAATGATACAATATTTAACAAAATACAAAAATTAACAGTAATAGTAAAGAGATGAAAACAATTATATCCATATAAAACCAAAAGAACACTAACAAACATCACAAATTCTGAACAACTAATTTTAAGTGAGTTTGTGTACCGTTTAATAAGGAATAAAAATTTATAACTTCCAAAAATAACTATAAAATTTTCTATTTACTTCCAAAATCAAATAATTTTTGTCAACCATAATTTGTTTGTGAACCATAATTTTTTGTGGAGGAAACAAAAACCTAAAAATACTCTATACCATTACCAGCGTAGCAATTAAGTGTACTTTGATAGAAGCAAACAAGACACATAGAGATCACATATATAAAGCATCAAGATATGTATTAGATTTAACTAAAAAATTATTATCTCAAAGAAATGGGGAAAAATAGAAAAGAGTTACATAAATCTCGAATTTATTAATGGCCTTAGTTTAATCCAGTGTTTTTAAAATTGAACCAGATTGCAAACCAGACTAACTTTCGGGTCACTGGGTTATTAGGCTAACTGGATTCGACATCGGGTCAATTAATTAAAATTTATCAATGACTTTATATAAATTATACAGTTTTTTAAATATAAAAATAAAAATAATGATACAATATTTAACAAAATACAAAAATTAACAGTAATAGTAAAGAGATGAAAAAAATTATATCCATATAAAACCAAAAGAACACTAATAAACATCAAAAATTCTGAACAACTAATTTGAAGTGTGTTTGTGTACCATTTAATAAGGAATAAAAATTTATAACTTCCAAAAATAACTATAAAATTTTCTATTTTACTTCCAAAATCAAATAATTTTTTGTCAACCATACTTTTTTTGTGAACCATAACTTTTTGTGGAGGAAACAAAAACCTAAAAATACTCTATACCATTACCAGCGTAGCAATTAAGTGTACTTTGATAGAAGCAAACAAGACACATAGAGATCACATATACAAAGCATCAAGATATGTATTAGATTTATCTAAAAAAAAATATTAACTCAAAGAAATGGGGAAAAAAAAGAAAAGAGTTACATAAATCTCGAATGCTACTGTGTAATTGTGTTTTAACAAAGTATTAGGGAAAGTTACAAAAATCTAACAAAAGAGAAAAATATAGTTACAGATATCGAAGGAAGATAGTCTGCAATTACAAAAATCTGGTCCCACTGAAAGAAAGAAAAGAAGAAGAAGAAATGAAAAATCTACAACAAATTTAATTAAATCGTTAAATGACTATGGAATCTTACAAAAAATTTGGGCTTCAAAACTTTTAAAAAACAAACTCCAATACCTTCTCGTATATCATGAAATAAGAGAGAATGAAGCAACAAAATTGATAACAAGGTTTTATAATTTCTTACTGCAGTTCCCATGAAGAAATTTGAAAAGATATTATTATTTTTATATAATTTATTGTAACCGATTACACCTTCCATGCTAATTCCAGAATAGACATTGATCTACTCATTGCGGATCTACATAATTCCAAAAGACACCAACAAGAAAATGAAAAATGCACTATCTGCCTAAAAATATTTAAAGACCGAGATGATATCAACACCTTCAAATGTAACCACATCTATCACCATATATGTACCATAGCATGGTGGTATTCAAAAAGAAATTGTCCAATCTGTAGGACAACAATGCTCTAAGTATACTTTAATGCAATAGAGTTCTTCTCCATACTTCTTAAACAAAGAATTCTTCATCTACTTCTTACTTATCACATTATACTTAAATAAAATCTTTAAAAAGAATATTACTAATTTACTACAAATACCAGACAAACTATTATTAGTATTATTCCAAAATTAAAAACATATAAAGTTATAGTGATATATTTAAAAACATAAATACATGTTAATTGGCAAAACTGAAATATTTTTTTAAATTAACAAAAAAATATTTAAAACGAAATATTCAGCCTTAAGAAATATTTGATAAAGAAAATAAAATAATACAAAAAAAAACTAAAATACTAAGTAAAAACACATTACAAACAACAAAAAAAAGGATAGTAAATATAATAGAAAATATTTAATAAAAAATTATAGCCAAATATTCATGCGTCAAAAAACAATTAACAAAAATAAAATAATACACAAAAACCTAAAATACTAAGTAAAAAAATTACTAAGGACAATAAACAAACATAATAAGGATAGTAAATAATTTAAAAAATTAACAAAAAAAAAATATAACCAAATATTCATGCGTCAAAAAATTTAAAAACTACAAAAATATAACAAATATAGAAAATAACAATAAAAAATAGACTGGGCACAGCCCGGATTATTCTTAGTCAATACTAATAAAAGGGACAATTTGAGTCTTTTTCGAGTGTCCACCTCAGCACTTTGAAATTCATCTAGAGAATGCCATGTCAGCAAAGAATTAAACCAAAAAAAATAAAAATAGAAATATCTTACCTTCTTTTTCCCTAAAACAAATTTAGAATAATCTATATTAATGGGGTCAGTTTAATCTCAAAAAGAAACTACTAACTAAACAAAATTAAACAATAAAAAAATATATTAAACACATGACCCATAAGCAGTCACAGAAACAAATGTAAAAAGGGAGGAAAAAAAAAGCCCATAAAAATTCCAAACCAGCATAGAAAGTAAGCTAACTTTGTTTAAGGCAAACAAGATACATGAAGATAACATATATAAAACATCACGATATCTGTTAAGTCGAAAAATGAGAATCACAAGGACAAACAACGTCGTGCTGCCTTAAACGAAATGCCTAAATTCCCAAATTGACGTCGTTTGTCCTTGTGATTCTCATTTTTCGACTTAACAGAGATCGATTAACGATCCTAAACGGTTGTTAACTCATCTGTTAGAGAATTTGATTTGACGACATGCTCAATCTAGCTCAGTCAACAAAAGATAGTGATTTAAAAATAACGTCAACGAGAAGTCTATGATTTTAATGGCCACTGTGACAGTCGAGTATTAAAATGGCCAAAATGTGTAAGTTTGGGATTTAAATAACATTTTTCCCTTTTTAAAACAGAAGGCTGAACAGTTTCGTTTTATCATTCCCCATTAGACGATTAAAAAATCTTATTATATAAACCTTGGTTTTCAAAGTCAGCCATTAACAAAATCGTGACATGTGTCAATTATAAACGATAAGATGTTGACACATGTCAATTTTAATTTTGTTAATATTTAGTTAAAATAGAAATCTTATTATATAAACCTTGGTTTTCAAAGTCAGCCATTAACAAGATCGTGACACGTGTCAATTATAAACGATAAGATGTTGACACGTGTCGTAACTAATTTTGTTAATATTTGGATAAAATAGAAATATTATTAACCCTATAAAAAAAAGAAATATATAAAATAAATATTATAAAGAATTATTAATTAAAAATTATTAATAAAATTAAATAAATAACCTAATTTCAGTTATGTCAATTTGGTTTATTAATAAGATAGGGATTTAAAATTTATAATTAACAAAAATATATGGAGGTTTTTGTTTACAGAAGAGGATTAAGGTTTAAACTTTAATTTTACAATTAAATCAGGTTATTTGTTGGTTTGGGTATATAAATGATAAATAAGAATTATGGTTTATCTTTATAAATTAAAATTATGGTTTAAGTTTAACAATTAAACGAGATTATATGTCGAAACTTGGTTTTTAAATTTACTAACTTACGTGATCATGATAAGTGTCAAGTAAAAACATAAGATGTCGAAACATGTTATATCTAATTTTGTTAATATTAAGATACAAATAGAATTTTAAAAAAACATTAAAAATAATTATAAAAATTTAAGAGAATGTTTGAGAAATACCCCTTTTGGTGTACCCCTTTCCAAAATTACTTCCTTTATCTATCCATTTTCAAAAATATCCATGTTTAAATATTTTCAAAAATATCCATTATAAAACTTTATATGGTTTATAAGGTACTTCTATATAATAACT